TATAATAATTGGCAGTGCGCACAGTTAAATTATGTATTATACTACAGCTGGTACGTAACGACTTCTGATTGTAAAAAAACAGATTATTGTATGCGATAATGGCATAATGCGATGTTTATATACATTAAACTGCTATGTCGTCGGGAGTTTATGACAAATTGTGCAGAACAAAATCTCTTGTAGGTCGGACAGTGGACGGGAACGACGATGACGACGAGTGAAGGAAAAATRTGAAACGACGAGAATTATAATTACATTTTTATTGTACGTCGGAATAGTAKGTATACGAGATAATAATGCGCCATATACATGATGATTCGAGTACGTCATTAAAATTAACTAATTTTGGTCGTTTCATGAAATATTGACAATATTATATAAAAAATTATTCGCCAAGCACAGGTTCTCACCTCAATATTTTGAGCTTTAACAATTGTATAGGTAAATTCATTTAAATTTTAATTTTCGGAATTTTACAGTATACCCTGTGACCGTATTTTCAATCGTTTAACCTTTAGTATACCATTATTTTAAAATTGTTAATATATTTTTTTTTTAAATCCATCTACTTAACGACATACAGGAAAATAAGCGATTCTATCGTTTGAAAATAAATGTTATTTAGGTACGAATTAAAAATTAAATGGTATATAAAAAACCTAAAAGCATGGTCTTTAAGTTTTATAATAACTTAGAAATTCCAAAGATCAAGATCTGAATAAATCTATTATATATCAAAAGAAAGATTGGGGGGGGGGAGGTAGCATAGATACTTGGTGAATTATCCTGCATTAAAACACGCACTCAGAGTGTTCGTGTTTTTTTTCCGAGTATGAAATTTTTTTTTTTTAATGATTACAAATTACGTTCGAGAGACGTTTTGCGCGATGCAACTATGCAATGTAAGTATAGTAATTATTTATGTCGAGGGGAACGGCCTCAGGATTTTTTCTCACAGAGTGTATTGAACAAATTTGTCGGGTGTAGGTGAGTGGTATATGTATATCGGCGGCCTCGGTGGGGCGTAGGAATCGGCTAGATTAAAAAAATTTTATCCTCGAAAACTTGAAGTCGAAAAATCGTAAAAAACAATATTAACAGTCGACCGCGGCTGCAGGCGGCAATAAAATGTATTATGTACAAAAACGTCGAATAATGATGCACAGGTCCCCGACATATATTATTTAGTCGTATCTATATATAGGTACATTAATTATTTTATGCGATTTAACAGGTGTAACATGAAGGGCCGTATACAAATGTAAATAAACAAAACTACATACGTTTTTTTTTTCAATTATTCATCGTTTTAGTAAAGTAAAAAACACGTTCAAACGATCCTGGTCAAAGCCGATCTTACCATAATCGTTACACAATTATATTAAATTAACCATTTGTCTGCGGTTGTTCTGTTCATATAGTTTAGTAATTATTTAATGTACAAAAACGATAGATACAGCTGACACTGCAGCTGCAATTATAGTGATTAATGTTTGAATACGCACAAACCGATAACAGCGATAACATTATTTGATTTGTTCATTTTTATTTAAGATTTGAGTGGAGTTGAATTTCAGCATAGATTAGTAATAATAGTGATAAATTTATGAATTTAATTATTGGCCATAATATATGATTTGATTAAGAGTGGCAAAATACGGAATTTCGTTGTAAAACAAATCGTAATAAAACATGATCAAAATATTTTAAGAAATTTCTTTTGAAGCTATAAGGCTGGACGT